AGGGAGGACAAAAAATCGTTCCATTATCCTTACTAATTTTATAAATGCGAGAGTGGATTTGTTTGTCACGCTTTCACGCCTTAACTACTCAACCGATCATCATACAATGTTGCGCACTGTTGTCATTTAGGCCAGCATAAAATATAGGGTGGCTTTTATGTCGATTACATAATAGGCGTGGCAACCGGTATATCTATGAAAGTACGTACTTGCGGTAAAGTATTGGAATGGGGAAAAATTGGCGTTATTGGAGAAGGGGGCCTGACATTTCCCATACAAATTATAATTAGCGAAATTAGGCATATGTTATAACAATGTAGCTGTCAGACGAAAAAGGTTTAAAAAGGGTGCATTTTGAAAATATTTTTAAGAGGGTTGCCACCTGTTTGAAAAGTGGAATTTGAATAAATTGTACACAAGTTTTATGCAATTTTAAAACGGCAGAGTGTTAGAAAATGTTTTGCTTAAACATTTAGTATATTTTTTAGGGGGTTGGGTCCATTTGTCAAAATATTAAATTAATTTCAAATTATTTGTTAAGTTAAATGAACTATTACATATGGTCACCAATCTGAATACATTAGACTGCACCACCAAAAAAAGTTGCGGTTTTTCCGCCGGGATTACAAAATCNATTATGTTTTTCATTATTAACGAACTATATTGTAATAAAGCACTGACAATAACAATCATGTTTGATATATATTAAAGGTCTGCAAATATACNGAAAAATATTAAGATTTAAGTGAGCTGAACCAATTGGAAAATACCTCCAAAAATGGTGTTTTTTTAATGAGTAAAAATAATTTCTTTAAGAACTTTTCGAAAAGAGTCCCCTCAGATGGCAAACCAGATTAAGATAAAAAAATCTGCATAAAAATATATAAAAATATTTAATGACATTTTTGATGCTGTTTTTTTTTACTTTTTTCAAAGATTGATTTACGAAAATCTTGAGTAACTGGGCCAAAACTATTCTGATTTATTTTTCCACTGTTTTTATTTTTGCACAAAAAAGTCATTCGTGTCCAATTTTTTTCCAAATACCAACACATCTTAATTAAACTTTGAATGACGTTCGTTCATCCTACCTTTCTCTTTCATCATTTGAATGAGTGAAATAAAAACGGCGAGAAAGTACCTTTCCAATGACACCTCACAAGTCTAGTTTAGGATCAGTTATTCAAGTTTTTCTTATACCAATCTTTGAAAAATAAGTTAAAAAAAACAGCATCAAAAATCCGATTATTACGATTACGTTAAACATTTTTTTTAATTTTTTTTTTAAATATTCTTATGCAAATTTTTCAAGCTTAAACCCTTTTGTAATTTGAGGGGATTAAACAAAAAACTTTTAGAAACTATTTTTATTTATAAAAAACTCCATTTTCGGAGGTATTTTCAAATCGATCCAGCTCACGTAAATCTTCATATTTTTCCGAAATGTGAGCGTCTTAAAATATAATAGATTTTATAATTCCAATGGAAACACAGTACCGATTTTTTTTTTGTATGGGGAGTGATACAGTCTCGAATACATATGTATTTAATAGGGTTCCTCACAAGTGAACGTAACTCGAACATTGCGAAAAGCTCTTTCAATGCAAATTTTTGATCTAGAGTGAGTTCTACTTCTTCGTTAGCATCCTTGAGATCACTCTTAGCTCTTCCGTAAAAACATCGCCAGTATTTTTGCTATTCTCTCTGTGAGAGAATTATTTAGATGACCAGTAGCTCGTTTCTGTAACTTTTCTCTACCGATTATTTCTCTACTGGTAGAGAGCATACGTCATTCTCTACTTCTCATTAGCAGTAGAGAACAGAGAATTCATATCGCCTTGGTAGAGAATTGTTACAGAAACGAGCTACGTGTAGATACGATTTTCTAATTCCTGCTTAATTGATTACCGAAAGGATTTCTAAGCACGGCATAGTATAAAATTATTAAAATCTACACTTAAGTAGCCACAAGGTCAAAGTTCAGCTGAGAGAGTTAGAACGTTCTACTTATTCAACATAAATGATTGCGAAAGATTGGTAAGATAGCTTATTACTCTCCATTGAAAGCTTCAAAGCGGGATGCATTTCCCTCTCGATTCTTTAAGCATGCTGCTGGTAAGCTTATTTTAATTTGATTTCAACAAAAATCTGTTTACTTTTTCGCAACATAAATTTGCCTCCCAATTCGAAAATCCACATAAGAGGTACATATGTATATATTTCTTTGGAGTAAGCAAGCTTTTCAAACTGGAAATTGTGTACAAATTGGTATTCGCCCGGCTAAGGATGGGCGCCATTTATAGATTTTGAGAAACTTTACAACTTAAAAGTACTTACGCTACTTAAGATATTATACACTTTTCGAAGGTAAGCACGAGTGCAACACCGCAAAATGCTATTTTTATTTGCATTCAGGTGCCGCACCATTTTCGTGTACTTACACAAACTTTTCCTGCAATCAAATATGTATGCATATTAGGATGGGTCTTAGTTTATCGATTTAACATGAACTTTGTAGTTTACCTCTTTTCGCCGAAAATTGTATATACATATATCCCGATAGTGTACCCTACTCTAAGTAGGTGAAAACAGCATTTAATTTCATCCTAAATTTCGTATGAATTTTTTGACATTTTTCAAAAGTTGTCTTATTACAGCCACCCTAATACACATAGCAAATATATTTATAAATATCTGCATGTGCTTATGTGTGTTTTTATTTTCATTTATTTTTTCAACTGATTCCAAAATCAACAATTTCTATGCAGTGGAAGAGGCTGAAGGCAGAAAATGAAGAAGACGACAGAGAGTGAAGTAGTGAAAGAATATCTAAACATCCACAGACAACAGATAAATACGCTTAAGCACTTAAGTAAGCACACATGGCAGCTTGTAATGGGCAACAAGCAACATTCTAAGTGCATGGGTGTGGCTAAAAGAGTGCGAGGCGTGGCTGTACAATACAAGAGGAGCGCATATGGTGTCTGTGTGTGTGATAAATATGTATGTATTTCTGCATCAAGTGGTCATGGCGTGCATTTGTGTGAATGCTCACTGGGTTCCTGCGTGTGTATGCCACTGTCAGTGCAACAAATTGAGACGCAGCGTGAATGCAAGGAAAAGTTTGGAGTGGTTTTCCTATATTGTGTAACTATAAGCACTTTTTACTTATTTAGTTTTTTCGTTTTTTCTTCTTATTTTTGTNCACTTTATATTATATTATATTAAGCACTTTTTACTTATTTAGTTTTTTCGTTTTTTCTTCTTATTTTTGTTTTAATTTTCACTTGTGCATATCCATTTTCTGTGTGTGTTTCTGAGTGTACTAAAATTGCCTGTTAACTTATTTTTTTTTTGCTTTTGTTTCAATTGCAGATTCAATGAGAAGAGGAAATTTAACCAGAAGCAAAACACAAACTGGAAACAGCAGTGGCAATTCAGTTCCTTGCGCAAACGCATATACGGTTTGGTAAAGTGGCAGAGTGTGTGCTGCAGACCTTGCGTCACAGAGGAAGTGTACGAGGGGATGTACAGGGTGTGTAGACGACACACAATGGCGGTGTAAATAAGTAAATAAGGAAAGTTAAGAAAACAGCAAAAAAAAACCAAATTGTTGCAACAAAACTAGGACAAAGGCGGATTAAGTTTGCGTATGCCAGCCCATTTCTCATGGATAGCGTGTTGGGACTAAGCGCAGATTGTGGCAGATAACTGATGCGCCGGGCAGCGAAGTGAAACAAGGCAGTTGTAGTGTTTTTGTGGCAACAGCAAAACGCATAAAATTTACATACATATCTACATATGTACATATATATGTTTCAGGCAACATGCTACATGCAGTCGGAACACAGTGAAATACGTAAGGCATACGAGCAGTTGTTTACGGGTTGCTGAATTAGACTGACTTTTTAAGAGAAATTCCGAACGCAGGCACAAAAAGCGACAAACACATGTATACATGTATTTTTTTTTTTCATTTCACCTCATTTGACATGTAGCACATTGGACAGTTGCAGCAACAGCTAAAACGGCAGTTACGTGCCTGGCCTAAACAGATTTAATACTGCAGCGTCTAAAACGGCAGAAAATAAATAAGAAAAATCAAATCAAATAAAAGCACCAAACGGCAGGTTGAAATCGCTGGCGGTAAAGATAAAAGCGGGAAGTCAAAAGCTGTAAGTCAAAAGGCGAAAAGCAAAAAGCTAAAAAAAAGTCACAGTGAAAGCGCAATCAGCGAGCCACTAAGCCAACAAGTGATTTCCTATTGCATGTGGAGCGAGGGTTGTTTGCCTGACAGCCATTGCTGGCTTACTATAACCGCCGAAGGGCATCCCATCTGAGCAAACACAACAGCTTGCCAGTCCGTCAGCAATCAGTTAGCAGTGCTAGTCACAGGNTCGCCGAAGGGCATCCCATCTGAGCAAACACGACAACAGCTTGCCAGTCCGTCAGCAATCAGTTAGCAGTGCTAGTCACAGGTTAAATTGTTGTGATTCGTTGCGCACTGAAAAAACAATTTGGGAACAGAGCGCCAGAGTGGTGTGGTGCAGGCGTACGCAGGCGTCTCTTATGCACTGAGGCATTCGCGCGTGAGTGCTTGACCTGATAGAGCCACAGCTGAGCTGGGCCGCGTTGTGTAGTGACGTCATTCAATTTGCTGGTGAGAGTCTCGCAATTGCGAAGGGCCAAACGTCGGCCTAGTTTTAGAGCAGCAAACGCAGTCGCGTCGGCTTCCGCATCGTTGTGACGCAAAGCATCGAATCGCGTCGCGTAGCGTCGCGTTTCGGGTCGATTCAATTGAAGTTTACTTCGAACAACATTTTGGTGTATGTGTGTGCATCCGGTAACAAAAAATAACTCTAACTTCCATGCCAAACCGGCAGTTAGTGCGTGTGTGTGCGNAGGCCAAACGTCGGCCTAGTTTTAGAGCAGCAAACGCAGTCGCGTCGGCTTCCGCATCGTTGTGACGCAAAGCATCGAATCGCGTCGCGTTTCGGGTCGATTCAATTGAAGTTTACTTCGAACAGCATTTTGGTGTATGTGTGTGCATCCGGTAACAAAAAATAACTCTAACTTCCATGCCAAACCGGCAGTTAGTGCGTGTGTGTGCGTGTTTTTAAATATAAGCACATAGCCAGTTCAGGCAGTGAAGTGGTGCCAACAAGCCAATTGAAACACGCAGGCGTTCAATCAGCTGAGTGTACTGAATTTCCGCCCAGCTAACTAGCTAGTTAGTCAGTCGGTCGGTTCGTTTAGACGCGTACGCGTACGCTTTGTCGTTGTCGCTTTGCATTTTGCGCTTCGTTGCATTTCCCCCCACAACGGCGATTAGCATGGCTCGAGCATTGTCCTTGCCCTCAGTTTCGCCGATGGCGCTACTAAAGTATTGCGGCATCGCGTCATCGTCGCCTGTGCTGAGCGGCGATATCGGTCGTGGTCTATTCGCCATTGTTGTTCTACTGTTGCGTATGTCCTCCGTCTATGGCGTCATCGATCGGCTGGTGGTGCAAACGTCGAGCGGGCCGGTGCGCGGCCGCTCAGTCACTGTGCAGGGTCGGGAGGTGCATGTGTACACAGGCATACCCTATGCCAAGCCACCGTTAGATGAATTACGATTTCGCAAACCGGTGCCAGCGGAACCCTGGCATGGTGTGTTGGATGCAACGCGCCTGCCGGCAACTTGTGTGCAGGAAAGGTGAGTACAAATATGAACTAAAGCCACACAATTTTGCACTTTCATGACAGTTTACAAATTAATGGTTAACAAGGATAGATGGGGGGAATGTGCGGTTAAGTCCTGTTGATTACTTTGAAATGGGCGCAATATTGCCAACATGTTAAGGCATTATTAATTACGAACCCGCACAGAGAAACCCTGCAGAAATTCAGACTCACCCTAAGTTAGCCCTCAGATAGTCCCTATTGTAACCAGCACTAGTCACTCATAATTCCCCTGGCAATGGTTGCAACTGCCATTTTTAGCATTGGGGTGTCATTGGAAAAGGACCAGTCCACTCAACAGTGACTGTAAGATAGTCCTGGACTCGTCCAATTCTTTTTGGTTGGAACACGATTACGTTCTGCACTTCACAGATGCTTTTTCATATTTCGCAAAACCAAAAAAAAAAATTTCTTTATCATTTTATAACCATGTTGCTTCTGACGGCATTTGAACCCAGACCCTCCTGAAAGCTAACAAATAGTGGCAAGCATTACTGCGCACTGAGCTACAGCCACGCATGTAAATGTAAGTGGCAAGACAACACCACCCTGTCACTGCCAAACTGTACTTTTCGTATATCTCTACACCGATTTCTTGGGGACTGGTCGAAAGATGACATTTTGATGCAATCAAATGCCCAATTCTGCTCAGTAAAATTTTAACCAGCGAAGTNTACCACCCTGTCACTGCCAAACTGTACTTTTCGTATATCTCTACACCGATTCCTTGGCGACTGGTCGAAAGATGACATTTTCGATGCAATCAAATGCCCAATTCTGCTCAGTAAAATTTTAACCAGCGAAGTACTAGTCCTTTAGGGAAAAGTGGCCACCTTATTGCTGCAGGGAAATGCAGGTATGAGTACACACAAAAACAAACACACATATGCACTTAAGTAACCAAATTTCTTTGAGATCATTCTTTGCTGTATTTATGTTGGCGTTGGAAGCTTAATTAATTTATATTTGGCCATTATTCATTTCTTCAAGGGAGCTTTCAGTACAAGAGAGTTTTCTTCTTAATTTGTTTAGTACATGAATGTGCATACTATGTATATATACATACGTGTTAAAGTCGAACGTAACTATGCTAGTTAAAAAAGCGCAAAACCTCATTCGTTACTGCGCTGCACTTAAATTTGAATTGATCTTCATACAATTTTCTCCTCATGGGCTTTCATGATGTTCATTAATTAATTACAAAGAATTGGGTGATAAATTTTACAACAAATAAACATCAAAAAATATGGAACAAATGTTCATTAGGGTGGTTAAAAATAAGTTAAGTCGGAATTTTAATGCTCCCACCTCTAGGATTGTTCTATATCGGAAAAAAATATCCGTATTTTTTTTTTGAAATCAAAAAATATTTAGAGGTCGCTCAAAGCACTTAAAGTTTTCCATGTATTTTGTATGGGAAAAACAACTTTTCGTAGAAATGGCATAGAATTCTTGAAACTTAATATTTTTCGATTGGAAATCTCTGGTTCTCTTCAGGGCACGTCCTATCACGATACCCAATTGTTTACGTAATTATTTTTTACTAAAGATTTTTTATTTATCTCCCATTGCATTTTCTGGGGGTTTTGGCGGACCTATGAAAAAATGGTTAAATAAATAATTGGGCATTATTATTGGGAATCTCTTGAAGAGAAACAAAGCGACCTCTAAATATTTTTTGATAAAAAAGTAGGTGTATGTTTTTTTCGGTATAGAACAATCCTAGGGGTTAAGAGCATACAAATTCGGACTTTGCTTTTTCACATGCATTTTTGGACCACCCCAATGTACATACACATGCATACATGAAGTAAGTACTAGGGAGTGGGGACTTGAAATTCGGCTTTTCCCGAACTTAGAATATTGCCGAACCATTTGATTCGAAATTTGGTGGTGCAAATTCGATTTAATTTGAATTTTTTCGAGTTTTCAACATATTTTTATTTAACTGAAAATTTTAATGAAAACTTATTTGACGCCAAATGAACAGCTGCTAGTTGGGGCAGTTTTTGATGTCATTAATTTTTACATAAGAATAACAAGGATTATATACAGTTTTTAGATTATAAAGTATCTGAAATCTTATGAATTTTTTATGAATTTGTTTGTAAATCTGGGACGCGTAGCTACTTAAGTAAATCAATAAATATATTTCGCTGTGAGTTAATTCTTAAGCTTTTATCCAATTTTATTGTATATTTTTAATTCATTCGATGCCCCGAAAATATGGATTTTTATATACGATACATCGATATGCATCGATGCAATATTTTGATGCATCAGATCGAAAAAACATCGATGTGTATATTTGACTTGCATCCCTAAAACAAATGTCAGATCCCTTTACGTATAATGATTTTTGAAGAAGTTGTGAGCACAGGGAATATTCTCGTGGGCAGCTTAGGTAATTTGTCACTAAAGGGGCATTGTAGATTCGTCAAAAGGTCGGAGTAATTTAAGTTTTTAGAGAAATTGTTTTTCCCTAGTAACTTTTAAGCAAAAATACAGCCGACTTTAATACTAATTTAAAAATATAAGATCCCCGTTAATTCCTTCATAATCCTATGATCGGAACTACACCAAATCAGTATAGGTCCCACTTCAGATACCACCTTTCCTATAAAGAATGATATTTCAAAAAAGGTTGACGTGGTGAAAAATTATCGGGTTACATTAAAAATTTAAAAAGGAAACAAAAAAAATATTTTGATGAAATGATAAGCTTTCTCCTTTTTTGAAGCCAGTTAAAAAACGTACCTGTATGAGTACAAGCTAGTTAACAAATACGACTACCTCAAAACCATGGACCGTAAATAACAGTTATTGAAGAAAACTGTCATTGAAAAATTCACTATGAAGCAAATATTCTACAACTAAGTAATTCATATCAATCGATTTCTTTCTTCACCGATAATCAAATTTTGAAAAAAATCTTTATTTGTAATTTTTATGCAAAACTAAAAACAAAAAAAATTGTTTTTTATTCCTATTTTACAAATCTAAAATAACAATTATTTTTAATNAAAAACATTGTTTTTTATTCCTATTTTACAAATCTAAAATAACAATTATTTTTAATTTTTATTCAAATACCCTGCAGATAACAATTATTTTTGATTTTTATATTATATGTTTCAGATAACAGTTATTGAAGACTTTTATTTATAAAATTCATCAATAAAAATCAATCACCGACTTTTATTATTTTTAATCATACGTATAAAAGTCATTATCATTTTTCGCACTTAAGAAGGTGTCGGAGAACCAAAATTTACTAGGACTTATGCAAATGACTATTATAAGTATGATTTGAAAAATAAAGATCTGTGACTGATTTGTATTTATGACTTTTATAAATAAAAGTCTTCGATAACTGTTATCTAAGACATATAATTTAAAAATCAAAAATAACTGTTTTTGCAGATTATTTGGATAAAAATCAAATATAATTGTTATTGTGGATTTATAAAACAAAAATCAGCAAAAACTGTTATTTAAGGAGTAATTAAATAAAAAAAAAAAAAAGTTGTTATAGAGGATTTGTTTAATAAAAGTTGTAACTGTTACGGTCCCTGCTCAAAACAAATCCATGTCTGGTATAAGATTGCCACCCTTCCTTCCATTGTGTCTCCTATGAACCACTCAACTGCCTTCGTCCCATCGTGTACCTCCCCATAACGCTCAGTCTCGCGATTTTCTTCTATGAACTCATGGCTCCCCTATTCGCTCCTACCGTCCTTTGCTGTTCATGGCCTCGGTTGATCAGCCAATAAATCCGCAACGTTTCAGTTTACCACATCATAAATAAAGCTTTCGTCCGCCCTACCGCTTGTCCGCCTTTTTCCAAGCCAAATGAATCACATTACAGGGGTCACTATATTACTTGAATTGATTGCCATTCCCAGCTCCACATCATTGGAAAAATCTCCTGTAACGTAAATTTTTCGAAATATTTTGGCTGCAGTCTTAAGATATAGTATGCAGGGGCGGAAAATAGTCATTATTTTGGAAAAAAAAAATAAAAATAACATGTTGTAAGCGTCGTAAAACAATTTTAACNTTTCACTATATTACTTGAATTGATTGCCATTCCCAGCTCCACATCATTGGAAAAATCTCCTGTAACGTAAATTTTTCGAAATATTTTAGCTGCAGTCTTAAGATATAGTATGCAGGGGCGGAAAATAGTCATTATTTTGGAAAAAAAAAAAATAAAAATAACATGTTGTAAGCGTCGTAAAACAATTTTAACTACACTCACATATTTGTATTACATAGTACTTTATACGGTAATTTACTATGATTTTTATTTTTCGAGTTTAACCAGTACCAATAATAATAACAATTCGAGTTTTTTTTTCGTTCGAAAGAAATGTCGCTGTGACCCGGAACCCGAATGAGCCTTACACACAGTGTTGCCGTTTTAGCCCTTTGGTGGCTAAATTTGGCTACCAAATTCTTTTTTTGGCCACAAAAATTTGAAATTGCCCCTAGCCCTTTTTTTAGCCCTTTTCAAAATTTATTCATCATTGACATTAAAATTTTTNAACACACAGTGTTGCCGTTTTAGTCCTTTGGTGGCTAAATTTGGATACCAAATTCTTTTTTTGACCACAAAAATTTGAAATTGCCCCTAGCCCTTTTTTTAGCCCTTTTCAAAATTTATTCATCATTGACATAAAATTTTTTTTTATGATTTTCATGAATTTAACTCTTCGCGCATAAGGCGAACGCCTTTCCTTAAGGCAAGTAAACATGTGTCTATGTATGTTCCTTACGTTTCTGGGCCGTTATCTTATCCGTTAACGATTTAACTATACATTAAAATAGGTAAGTTGGCGGCCCTTAATATGCTTTATGTGTTACACAAAAAGTTTTTTTTTTTGAATAAAATATTAATTCTTTTCAGAGTTCCTTGTTTTTCTATACCAGTAATTATAGAAAATGTTTGCGTNGCCACGCCCCCTCTTCCGAATTCGGGAAAACTTCGCATAAACCATCTGCATGATAAATCGAATATGCCACATAAATTTGGTTGAATTCGGTGAAGCTGGTCTCAAGTTATGAGGTCACACCAAAAACGTGCACTTATTTTTATATATAAGATGTAGGTAAAAAAATTTAGCTACCATTTTTAGCCACAACAACGATTTTTTGCTCTTTTTTGGCCCTTTTTTAGCTGGAATTTAGCTACCACTAAAAATGTTTCGCGGCAACACTGCTTACACAGAAGTATTCCGACGCTTTAAGTTAGATCGCACCTCCCATGCACTTACACTTAGCTGTCGACAGTGTTTTACTTGACTACCTAACGGTCAGCCTAATATCAC